AGACCTCTCCCTGTTGCTTGGTACTGCTGCTTGTATGGCGCGAAGACAAAGACAGTCCCAATCACCCAACTCCTTATCCCCCTCCATTCCTCCTCGCATCTCATGGGACACACCAGTACTCTTCTCCCTCTTGCTGCTGGCCGACCTCCTCCACCAAATTTTGCAAGATGAAGAGCACAGGTGATTCCTCCCGAAGCGAGACCCAATAAAAAGCCACACCGGCCAAACCAAACTCTTTCTGCCATCTGAAACTGTTGAGGGATGTTAGTCAAGAGGAGAAGTTGAATGGGGTGTTCGGGAAAGGGGGTTGTGAAAAGTGAATCCCAGAGTGCTGATGCTCTTGCCCAGTAGTACGTCGCCTCCCCACAATGTATTAGGTGATCAAATCCTTTGTCGTCTCGTTGTTACAGACCATGCATGATTCTGTGCTGTTAGGATCTGAATTCTTACACCTCTTGTGAAGCCATTGATTCACAGGTAGTGCTGTGTAAGTGATTAGCCACTGCAAGCTCCGGATTTAATTGGCCTGATGAGTTGGATTTTTTTCCATTGGATCTAGGTGATTTTGTCTGCCTCTTGGCCCAGTAGGTTGTGCCATCTTTCTTTAATGATAGGGTCGGGGTCCTTCGTTTTCAGTGATAGTCTGTACCCTACTTTAACTGTATAATCGTGAATTAGGATTTTGGATTTGATATTTTTAGTCTTGTCCGGCATCCATGCCCATTATGCTGGATCAAACTCTAAATTGTGGACTGCTGTATCCGGTCTGAAGATTGATTTGGGCCATGAGCCAAGGACTCTTATCTTTCTGAGTAGAAAGGCGTCCAGGACTACTGACTCAAAGTCGTTGTTCAAGATAGTCGGCATGCTGGCAGCAGTCGTGGAGATTGGGAAGGAGAGAAAGGAGGCTTTGGTGTGTGAGTCTTGTTGCATGTGGGCAAATTGGAAGGCTCTCGAAACGGTTGATTCTCGAATCTTGATTCCCCATTCTCCAGGTTTCCAAGGGGCTGCCTCCACTAGGATATCTTTCCAATCCTGCGGGATAAGGCTGACAATATAACGGAGGTTGGGTTCTCGTTTGTGGCATCCTTTTAGTTGGGAACTGATTTCCTGTTCTGTCTTCCATTCTTTCCTGTCTTCATTCCATATGTGTGCGATCCATATGCCACTTTTGACCCAGGAGAGCCATCTGTGTTCTAAAAACAGGGGGTTGTTACCTTCATTAGTCACCCATTGGTTCCCAAAGAGTGGCTGTCTTAGTACTTCGTCTTTAGATCTCGGTCTATTCGATTTGTTTGGAATTATTTTCCTCCAGATTTGAAGTAGGGCTGTCCAGTAAGGGGTAGCCGGCCTATAGCCTTCTGGTCTGTTACGATTTCTTCTGCCCGTGGCTATGGTCCACTCTTTATTCATTACCCAGAACAGTCCTGACATATTCTCTGGGGAGGGTACCGGGGCTAGTGATCTGATGCTGTCCAATGCTAAGTTATGCAATGCGGTGTCCAGATTCATCAGGAGTTTGATGATCCACTTAATCTGTAAGGCTTTGGTTTCTGTTCTGGGGTCTATAATCCCTAGGCCCCCTTTTAGTGGGCTCCTTGTGACATAGTGCCATGCAACTTTAGATATACCGTTCTCTTTGTTGGGGTCTCCTGACCATAGATAGAGTCTGGCTTTTTGGTTTAATTCTTTGATGGAGCTCTCGGGGACAGTCCAAATGGAGGCCAGGTACCACATCATTGAGAAGACCGAAGTGTTCAGGACTAGAGCTCGCCTGATGAGGGATGTGAAGGTATTGCCCCATCTTCCTAATTTATTGATCTGTTTGGTCAGCATGTTCTGGCCCATTTGAGGCGCTAGGCCTTCTCTTGTCATAAGTATGCCCAAGATACCGGGTCGGGGTGTCTGGCATCTCCCAGACCATGGCTTCTTCCTCTCCTTGTAATGATAAGGGTTCCTCGTCTGATAGCCACCATCCTATTGTTTTCCCCCAAAGAGAGTACTTAGTTTTCCATTTTTCAAACAATTATATGCTCTAGCAGAGAGCTCTAGTTGATGAATATAATTTTTCGTCCCTGCTAAGTTCTCTTTGACTTTGCTTTCTGAAGGCTTTCTTTTTTTTTCTGAACAAAAAATTACCAGATTTTTTTTTATAAGGAAAAATTACCAGAACAAGGGGAGGAGATATGAGCAGACTCGACTAGTAAGGATTCTGATTGCTCCAGTTTATTAGTGGAAGCGACACCTGCTGGAAAGTGGGTCCAGCATCCCTTCGAATACATGGTTGAATAAGAGGCTAATGTTAATACTCAAGGAAGAACACAGGGGATTTCCTACTCATGTAAGGTTTGTAGAAAATTTTAGTTGTTTCATGATGCACATTAGGCAGATGTATCTTGTGTTTTTCAAAAAGAAATAATGACTAGACGTTCAAGCTGACTACCGGGCCAATGTGGCTGAGTGGTACACCCATGAACTACTGATACGAGTAAAATAGTGCTGAATTACCTGGGTTGTTCAATGATAATACCTCAAGCCAACTGGCCTTTTACGAAAAAAGAAAAAGTTCAAGCTAACCATGATACGAAGATACAACATGTGTGGTCATAATCATTAACACTTGATATTTGTTGTTGGTGGCCTGAAGATATTGTTGGTGTTTACTCGTGGCAGGGTGGATGTGGAGAAGGCTATATCTGTTATAAAGGACTACAACAATCGTACTACTGGACACCTTTTTGTCTTCTTTTATGGAGTGGATGTAATACAAGGGGAGCTGTTGTTCTCAAATATCTCTAAAATTGCTTCGGAAGTGAATGGTTTAGCTCAAACGCTGGGCTGTGGAGACCCACTGCTGGCTGTCTATTCATATTTTGACTTCTTGGCTAGCTTCTACCGTAATCAAAAAGAGCCATGGCGGTGCAAAAAGTATGAGGATGCTTTTAACCTGCAGAACATCACCACAATCGTGCTGCCAGGTATATTCATTTCACCTGCCTATCTGTGCAATTGCTATGCCTTAATCTTACAAGTCAACTCCCTTCTGTCTATCGGTTCCTTCGTCTGTCAGTTCCATTGTCCATTTTTCCATCTATCCATGGATCATTTATCTGTCCTGTTGGCTAGGTCAGTACTACTCAGTAGGTTTCATGCCTGAGATGCACCGAGCAGGTGCTGGGTTCGAAACCTGACTTCCAGTGGCCAGAGGATGACCGAAGCCAGAAGGCGCTGGTCAGTTTGGTGGTGTGAGTTGCCCGCCCTGTAGCCCATAGCTATGTGTTACATGCTGCGCCTGCACACGAGGGCCATTTTCCAGGCCCTGCGTCCCTCAGGCTGAAAGCCTGAAAACCAGGGCCTACAGGCCCCGTGTCTGTTCAGCTCGAAAGCCTGAAAAACAGGGGCCTACAGACCCTGTGTCGTTTCAGACTAAAAATGGCAGTAGCCTTTTTAGCCTGAAATGAAGGGCCATTTTTGGTCTTTCATCAGACCGACCTGCCCTGAAACTCAGGCACCAAACCAGGGTTTTAGGAACAGGCTATTTTTGGCCTGTTCCCACGACAGCTGCAGCGCCAGACCCTGGCTCAGTTTGGCATTGGCAAGAGCAGCCTCCTGGACGGCCCGCCCTGCAACTGCAGGCAGTCGGAGGGAGTCAGGAGGCAGGCCGATGTAGTACATAGGGACTTCCCATGCACTTCACGGGCAGGCAGGAGGCAGGCAGTAGTCTTCAGGATTCGGCAGCAGCACTCTGGAGGAGCGCTGCAGGAGTAGTAGGAGCGCTAGCAGTAGTCTTCAGCGTTGGGCAGCGTTAGCAGCAGTCTTCAGCGCTGGGCGCCATAGGAGCTAGAGTAGTGCTAGAGAGAGAGAGGTTGGGCGGAGGCCAGGGATAAATACCTGCAGCGCCATTGCTCCAGCTTCGTCTTCGAGGTACCTGCAGCACAGCGCCATCTTCACAGGTTAGTTCCTGGCACATGAGAGAGAGAGTTCTTCTTCTTCCTCTTCTCAGTCCACCATCTCCTTCTCACCCTCTAGCTATCCAACTTCACTGCATAAGCAGACTACGAGAGAGAGAGTGTTACAGCTGCGCCTGCACACGAGGGCCATTTTCCAGGCCCTGCGTCCCTCAGGCTGAGAGCCTGAAATTCAGGCTGAAAGCCTGAAACCAGGGCCTACGGGCCCCGTGTCCATTCAGCTCGAAAGCCTGAAAAACAGGGGCCTACAGACCCTGTGTCGTTTCAGACTAAAAATGGCAGTAGCCTTTTTTTTTCTTTTTTTTTTTTTAAGCATGCTTCATTATATATTGAGCAAAAGGAGGCCGGGAATCCCTCCACATCTCAACCCGGAAAACTGGGGCCATTACCCAGATTAGGCTCGTACTGGAAACTGGGTCTAGTGTCCCTTTCTCCTGTCTAGCTACATGCTATTCTTGAACAAAGACAAAAGTAGATGAAGAAAAGAGGAATAGCAATAAAGGAAAGAACCTACCAACCTGCCCTTAGTACTGCCAATCATCCTCCCCAGTTGCAGTAACGAAAAAAGGGCAGAAATGTAATGGAAGAAGTGGGACCCCTGCGGAGTGCCCCGACCTGCAATTTCCGTAAACCTACGTCTATTTTCCTCTGCCTAACTTTTCCTTCTTCTCTCTCTTTCCGCCTGTCCTCGCCGTAAACCCTAAACCCTACTGCTGTTACTCCCCTTTCCCTTAACTTCCAACGCCTCATCCTTGCCATGACTCTCTCTTTCCTCTCAGAACTGAAAGCCAGTTCCGCCAAATTTTGCTATATTTCCTAGAAAGAGCTCTCCCTCCATTACTACCAACCTGTGCATTGCCCGCTGACTCTGTCTTAACCTTAAAACCTAATCCCTCTTAACCTCTCTTTTCTTGATGACTCCTCTAGCAACTAAACTTGTGACCTCCCAGCACGTGTGTCAGGCTTTGGTCGTCTGGTATGTGTAGGTCTTGCAATATCCCTTCTGTGTCGTAACTGTGCCTGTCCCTCTACTGATTGTAGAGCCCTTAAGCTCCTTCCATTAACTGATTTTCAATCCCCCTCCTCTATTTAAAATCGAGGTTATTTCCGTGCAAGGTTGCCACCAATCCTTGCCCTAGTACATTGGTATTGAATTTCTTCCTTATTTCCTGCTCCTGGCCATCCTGAAACGAAGGGCCATTTTCGGTCTGTTATCAGACCAACCTGCCCTGAAACTCAGGCGACCAAGGAGGAAGTGCCGCCACCACTTGAGCGCGTGGACGAAGGCGAGGAGCTCCTTCTTGCGTGCATCGTCAATGAAATGCACGACGGGCACTTTCTTGCTGAAATACTCGACCGGGTGCTAGTCCACACCATCATGTTGCTCGAGGACTGCACCAATGCCATAGCCTGACGCATCCGTAGTGACGCTCGTAGGCAAAAGCGGGTCATATATGCGCAAGACCTCCGCAGATAATAGCACGACTTTGAGAGCCAAAAATGATTCCCGCGCCTCCTCTCCGAAGTCAAACGGTCGATCCTCGCATTGAAGCTTGGTCAAGTGGGCCGCGATCTTCGAGTAGCCTTTGATGAAACGCTGATAGTAGCCGGCGAGACCAAGGAACGAGCGGACATCTGTGGCATTCCGAGGCTCCGGCCACTTTTGGATGGCTTGAATCTTCTCCGATAGCGGACTGATGCCCTCCGGTGTGACAAAATGGCCCAAGTATTCCAGCTCTTGCCAGACAAATTCACACTTGTTGCAGTTGGCCTTGTACTTCGCACGGCGGAGCGTTTCAAACACTCGTCGAAGACGCCCAAGATGATCCTCCAATGTCCGGCTATAGACGAGAATATCATCTACGTAGACCAGCACGAACTGCGAACTCATTGGTCATTGCCGCTTGAAAGGTCGCCGGGGCGTTGGTGAGGCCAAAAGGCATGACCACCCACTCAAAATGCCCGTACCGCGTCTTGAACGCGGATTTGTTCCGATCATTCGGCCGGATCGAGATTTGATGATATCCTGATTTCAAATCCAACTTAGAAAAATACTTTGCGCCGCCCAATCGCTCAAGAAGATCGTCGATGCGAGGAAAAGGCTCCGCATTCTTGACGGTTTGCGCGTTGAGCTTGCGGTAGTCGATACACAATCGTAGATCCTTGTTCTTCTTCCGGACAAAGAGAACTGGTGCTCCATATGGGGAGCTACTAGGGCGGATCCAACCCTTGGCCAACAAGTCGTCGAGTTGTGCGCGGAGGACCTCAAGCTCCTCCTCGCTCATCCGATAGATGCAACCTCTTGGCGGCACGACACCGGCCTCAAGAATGATCTCGTGAGAGATCGGCTGATCTGGCACCACACCGGTAGGTGACTCAAAGATGTCGGCGAACTCGTCCAGCAACCGCACCACCCGGAGGTCCGAAGACAAGTCTGTGGGTGAAGAGTCGGCTACCGCGACGGTCCGTAGGAAACATAGGCCGATCTCCTCGGGCTGCTTGTAAGCACAAGTCGCCCGGAATGATTTGGCCGTCACCACTTGGCACCGAATCGAAGGGTGCGGTAGAGGAATAGTACACGCCACTTCGGCGCCGAAGGCGTCGCGAACGCTAAGAGTCCGCCAGTGGAAGTTGATCGTGTAATCCGCACTTGCAAGCCAAGGCATTCCCAGAATGATGTCGAAATCCGTGTCGAGAATGTCGAACGTTACCGGTTCGCATGCATGAGGTGCGAAATACACCGGTACGGCCTCGATGTAACGGTCGAGAAGTTGATGCGTCTTTCCATCCGCCAACTTGATCGCCGTCGGGTTTGCCTTCCTCCGAAATTGTGCGCCAAGGCCAGCCCTTTGCATAAAGGTTTGGCTCACGAAATTGCGAAACGCGCTGCTATCCAGCAAAGCACTGCAGGACGCTTGCCCAACCTGGATGCGGACATACATGAGAGATGCGTTGTTGTCATCGTACCGCTGCGTGCGAAACTCGCGGGCCACCTTGGTAACATACGCAAGGATGTCCCCCACCGCGACTTCGTCATCCGTCGGCGAAGTTGGTGGTGCATAGAAGGATAAGTACGTGTGGAGATGAGCGCATAGTGTTGCGCATTGCGGTCCCGACAGGCGGCCCGTGGTTGGGAGTGGAAGCCATGCAAAGTCCTTGGATGTGAGCGAGTCCAATAACTCTATGTTGAACTCACGTGCCGAATCCCGTGAAGAACCACTTGAAGACGATAAGTCGCCGCTGCCGGACGGAGAAGATGCCACACACGCGTCTTGTCCTTGAGCTTGAGTACCCAGCGTAGAAACGAGCCGGGCAGCATAGTCCTCAAAAGAATACAGAAGAGGACTATCGACTTCCGCATGCGCCTCAGAATGAAGGCCGGTCACTCGCGAAGAGACCGGTTCCGGAGGCGTCGAGAGTGTCGTCGAGTCACTCTCGGCGGTGCTCAGTTTCCCTGTTTGCCCTTGCCTTTCAATGGGCAGGCCAGTGTCTCATGGAGATCGTTGTTGCACCAAAGGCAATAGTGGAATCTCGTGCGCGCTTTGAATGCTTGCTCGGAGGTGCCGTATTGGGACCATGGGGCTGGAGCTGCTGCGCCGGGCCCGGGGCTAGATGCGGTGTGTGTCTTCGTTTTGCCGTGTCCTCCGCCTTTGCCGGGGCGGCCACCTTCCCGGGCGGCTGCGAGTCTGTCCCCTTCATTGGCAGACACAGCCTCGCTAGATTGGTCAAACGGCGTTGCCGCCGCGTCCGCGGCCACTCTTGGTCGATGCTGGTCTCTGGTCGGGCTTGGCGTAGACGAACGCAGGTTCTTGGCCTCCTTGTTCGTGATAATGATTTGCGCGGCCTTGTCAAAGAGTCCCGCCGTTGTCGTCAAGGTGTCCTCGACGTGAGTCAAGGCATTGCTTAATGTCGGACAGGACCTTGAGATGAAATAGTAGCGGATGGCTTTGACGCCCATCTGGATGTCTGGGACTGATGTCAAGCGTTGGTACTCGACAATCCAGTTGGTACTCGGCAGCGTGCCTTGCCCGAAGACCATGAGCTTATCCATAGCCTTGATCTCTGACGGCTCGACTTTGAACCGCTTGTGCCACGCCGCCTTCAGATCATCCCAGCTGATCTTGGTGTGCAAGTCGGCAGCTACTTCTCCGTACTTGGACAAGAGATTGTCCAACCATGCCTGGCACGCGCCCCCCGACCAGGAGTACAAGTACGCGTGGTGCTTGTGTTCCTTGACGTAGTGTAGCTGTAGCGTGAGCTCGAACTTGCAGAACCATGATATCGGATCTGTCTTCGTCGAGTCGCGGAAGATCTCCTGGCCGTTAAACTTTGGAGTTGTCTCGCGCGGTTCCGAACTCGAGTGGTTGGCGGCAGTGCAGATGCGTTGTTCCAGCTGTTGCGTTGCGGTCTGCTGTAACTGCACGCCGTCCTTGAGTGAGCCGACGTCCATCTCCAATGCTTCGAGGCGATCGGAGGTGTTGGAAGAGCTTGCATCGGGGGCGGCGACAGGTCGCTGCTCCAGCTGTCGGAGGCGGCCTTGGACTTGAGTTAGCGAGTCGTCGAGGCTGTGGATGTCCTCCTACTGTGTAATGCATGTCGCTAGGAGGTCCGTGAGATGGGAGAGGAGGAGAGTGATCTTGTTTTCGCTATCCTCCAACTTGCCATTCTCGGCCTCGGTCTGCCATTCTGCTGCCATTGTGAGCAAAGTCTGCTCTCCGCTAAATATCTTCTCACGACGTTGAATTCTTTCTTCATCGGCAGCCTTTGCTGCTGCCTCGTCATGTCGGCGCTGTTGTTCAAGTGCCAGCAGACGTGCCTGCTCGGCGTCCTCTGCCTTCTTCTTCGCTGCTGTTGCTGCGTCATCCGCCCGTCTCTTTGTTTCGGTACTCCAGGCCAGCATCCGGGCGTGATAGGCCTCGTCTGCTTCTCCGGACCTCTGGCCCATGACGGCTGTTTGTGAATGCAGCAGCGTAGACCAGGTCGGAGGCCTGCTGACGTGGTATTCCCTGCTGCTGACGTGGCCTGCTGAGGTGTCCTGCTGACGTGGCCCGCTGACGTAGTCTGCTGACATGGACTGCTGACGTGGCAACTCACCAATGCCGCCGCAGGGGGTACCCGGAGACAGGTAGAGAAGGTAAGGCGAGAGGTGGCAACAACATAGGTGGGGAGG